TTATTGACTTTGGTACAGGAATTTCAACTGCGCCAGCCAATCTATCAACCGACTTTTTACTTCATAGTGTAATCGACAATCTTAAAAATTCGTATTTTATAGTGTTTCATTACCGTAGCTTTTTTAGGCTAACGATCAAGGCTAGCTGGATTTCTTCAGTGCATTATACTGATGTTATCATTTTTCTAATAAGTGTTTCTTTCATGTTTACTCTAGTCACTCAGAAAAAATGAATCAAATTACCGAGTAAAGCAACCTCCTTATTTTCATCTTAACCGTTTTGCAGAAATAATGTATACTGGCTGAGGCATTTCAGAATCATCATTTTTGTTACTGTTAGAGATGCAGTCAGTTTATGCTGTTTCCCAACATGTGATTTCTGTTCAGGGGGATACTATGAAGTTCGAAAATATGACAGGGTACTTAGTGCAATGACAAGCGAATGATTACGTAATCCCTGTTCATATGATAACCAGATCATTCTATCGGGGACAATTAAATATGAGATTTATTTAGGCGTTCAATCACAGTTTAGTTATGAGATTGTCACGTCAGTAACTAAGATATCCAGCTTCTATTCATCCCTTTGTACCTAAAAGGGAGTTCACTAACCAAAGATATCAGTGGTAACCGGAAAAGGCTCCTGGCGAATGTACACAAAAAGGGAATGAAACCTAGGGATTAAAAACCCTTGTGTAACAGTATCATTTCAACTTCTCACGCTAGTTCTTGACATACAGGTAAAACAGTAGCAAGGAAAAAAAAATTCAGAGTAAGGCGATCTTTAGTAGAACGAGATCAAATGAGTACGGAAGAGATGAGGTGTCAATATTCGCATAAGGTATTTATCCACTAGGATTCATGATTGCCTGTCTATGGTCACTGTTTCCTAACGTCTAATATATTCCAGTTATAGGTAGTTTGCGTTTTCTCATCGACTTTGAGTAGGATATCTATACCAACTTAGCGTTTCTTCAAAGTTCAGTTCCCGTTTGTTCGCATATATCCATAGAACCTACTTTCCAACAGTGTTGCTAGTTTACATTGAGATAACAGCATGAACATAGGTACATGAGCTTCCATAAGCTTAGCAATATTAATTATCAAGGTGATGACAGACAAGTATACCACTAAGGACTTCATCCTACAGTAAATTATTTTAGTTTCTTGTTCACCTAGTTGATTCTTTGAAGTCATTTAGCCACAACTTTCGTTGGAACTTCATTTGCCTGAGTTTAAAATTTTCGAATAAATATGTGCACTTTACGCTAAGATGTAAATTGGTTGATATTTTAACTCATTTTATGTAAAACACTAGTTTTGTACAGCATAGACAGCGGGAAACCTAACAAAAAAGGTTGGTTGAGGACTCTGCAAGTTTCATGATTTATATGATGGATCAGACATTGTTTAGTATCCAGATTAGAACAGTTACTTTTTTTGAGAGTCGTCCATTCCGTGAGTGCTTGACTCGAATTCAATTTCCACTAAACCTAATCTTGTACTGTAGTTCGTAAATCTGTATGAGGTCGAATTCCGCCGAACGTGTTACATAATGCTAGCTAGCGTAGGATTTTGTAATAGGAATGTTCACTTTAAGATATGGGACCAGTTTTTCATATTTCTGATTATTGGTTCGAGTGGTGCAAGAAAGCATCGGTAATGTTTCTGGAGTTTTCAAAAAGCTGGTTTTTTGGCTGTTGACAGTATGACTCAAAGTTGATCTCACTTCCACAGATCCAAAGATTCTAATATTCTCAAGTCACTTGTTTTATAATATCATTTCCTTCTCGTTAATTCAATTCCATTCTATTTCCGCTCACCTACTGTTTATTTACAATTGTTAACTATAGCAGTTTGAACTGCATCACTTGTGTGTATTATTATTTGTCCCTTGGGTTCCTAGTGGGACATAGGCCTTCAGTAGCACGCCTTCATTCCACTCTGTTCTCTGCAGTCTTTTGAACCTGGCTCCCCCACTGCCCACGAGCTTTCATTTCTTCCTCACATCGTCTCCTCCATGTCACCCGTTGCCAAGGCCGCCCAACTAGTCGTTTCTCATTTAGCTCCCACTCGAGGCCCTGGCCTGGTCCATGGTGTCCCGAAACTGTCTTCTCAGTGCATGCCCAATGCGTCTCCACTTTTTTCTGCATATTTGTTGGGCGATAGCTTCTCGCTAGGTTGGTTCGTTGCCAGGTCAAAGTTCCTTGTTGCTTTATTCTTTCTGGTCATCTGATCTGATCTTCAGTATCGAGTGTTGGCAGCAGCTGTTAACGAATGTCCGTAGTTTGTTGCAAGTGCTTTTCGTGATGCGCCAAGTTTCTCAACCATGTATAAAAACTGACTTGACTGACTTAGTGTTGAAAATTGGAATTTTGTTTTTTTTGCTGTATATGCTAATGCCGAATTTTACCGTAAGAGACTCTATTCTTATACTCAGTTGAAACAGTTTTCAGACAACTATGATATATGCATCCTGCTGGGAAAGTTCATGACCTTAATATCTCACTCAACTCAGAAACTTTCATTCATCTGTAGTTCATTCTAAGATCAATGATCCAAGTATAGCGAGCTTCCAGCTGTTGTTAGTTGGTTTTTGTCTAACTTGTAGGTACATAGTCGCAAGGGGGTGAACATAGAGTGTGCATTAGTGTGATAGCCATTACAGGAAGCTGGAAGGAAAAAGACGAAGAAAAAAGAGTGAGAGGATGACCCATCAAGCTTGGAGATATATAAAGTTGAGTTGTTGAACCATACTACCCTTCTTTAATTACGTTATCTCTTTGTGGTAAGTGGTGTATTATACTCAGTTGGTTCCGTGCTCCACTGAACTTAACTCAACTACCGCTTAGATTGTGCTGCCACTCAATAGTTTAAGGACTAGAAATTTACCTCCTAAGTTATGAGTTCAAATCGCATTGCGATTATCATGATCATGAACATTCGGATGGTATCATCTGAAAAATTGGCAAGAACGATAACTTGCAGATGTGTATGTATTATGCAGTGAACCCCATTAGTTATCCGAGAGCAAATGATATGAATTAGTTGCTCAGACCGTGGTAAGCGGAATGGTGTTCATACCTGTTACCTGTTGGTTGAAAATCTAGTGTCTTGACCGACAAAAGACACTTATGGATAACATCAACAACAATTGCACATGTGTTGATCATAAATTAGAACTTCTGTGTCCAAGGCGTTGCTGAATTGCCTTATTTTTATTTTGATGTATCGAAATCTGTTCTCAAAAGAAGTGAGATTACTTCAAATCTTCTATGAAACACTTCAATCAGACAATTCATTTTCGAATAAACCAGTAGATGAAATTATACATACATTCTAACATCTGACTAACATGTACTTGGATTATCTGCCATAGCCCTAGGCAAACAAACTTTGTGGTTGGTTACCCCTCCTTATTGGTCAAAAGACTTTTTCAACAACCAGTATCATTGAGTACGAACAATTGCTCGTCGTTTATTCATGCAACAATCAAGTGAGATACTCGATTATTCAAGTAGACTTAAAACGTGGATACAGTGGGTGACTAACCGGCATATTACTTGTTCGAGATCTTGTGCAGCTCAAATTTTTATTCAACTTCAGTTGTTTTCTTTTGGGTAATGCTGGTCTGCTTTGATATGACAGTTGTTGTTAGAGCTTTTAGTATTCTACATTTATTGTTCCTATAGCTTTGGATATCAGTGTAGATTTTATTTTCAACCAACCAGCTCCTCTGACTTGTAGATCAACTCTCTCCTGGGATTCAATTGATTAACTGAATAAGTCATTACGTTTTGTTCATCAAAGTAGCATTTTTACCTTGACAATCGTCATTGAATTTCGTATATTTATTTGTGTTTTCGGACTTGAGGAAATTCACTATCATTTTTGTATGGATGATTTTCCTTTGCTCTGAACAAACAGTATCAGAAAGCTCCTAATGCTTTGATTTGTATCTTCTGACTTGAAATTTGGGGTTGTGTTTATCAGTCATTAAAAGTGATTGTTTCTCATAAAAACCGTACTTTTAAGGTATACTTCCTAACAGTTTTGTAGTCCACTCTTGACCAATAGTTGCTACTTTGACGTATTGGTCAAACTTACGTATCGCAATGACCCGACTAGCTATGCAGATGGGACCCTTGTTCCCTTGAGGTCCCACCATGCCAGAAAGGTTTCTTGGATAGTCGTAAAGCAGTTACTGTTATAGTGTAAATCCCTGTGTTATGATGGGGATCCAAGGGTGCCCTCATAACTCTTTAAGCACTCAGTTTCCCTGAGATCACCGTCTATGAAAGGTCGGGAGTATAATATCATGTTCAAATAAATCCCTATTGTGGACCCAGTTTCTTTTTGAATCCATATATCACTGTTCATCATTAGGTCCATGTATTGAATAAAACTCATAATTTTATGTTGCTGATGCTAAGCATGAAATTGACGAAACTTTGTTGCCATTTTTGAATCATGGTATAGAAGCCTTGAAACACATTCTCGATTCCACCGTTTACCCACTTCTGAAATGATATCAAAACCTAACAAAAAGTAATATGTTAACATCCGTACAAGGAGGGTATATACCAGTATGGAATGACTATTTCGACTATGAAGATCAGTTGCTATGAATTAAAAGCTCTAAAAACAGTTCTTGCTTTTTGAACAGAAATCGATCACCGATAGTTACCATGCTAATGCATAGCACTTTAGTACCTAAAGCCATAAGTACGAGTTTCAACAGAAATGCTTACTTTCATCTGTGAATGTATACTACTGTTCACATTTAGCGGTTGCTTCTCATGTCTACAGTAAATCGAAGATTGTTACCGAGAATAAAAGGAAGTGTACTCAACAACCACGTGCATCATCATGCAGTAGACAGTAAACCGCATTTATTGCATGAAGGCTAATGATACTACTTGGCTCTACACATGACTCATTCAATCTCATGCAAAAATATTAAAGAATATTTTTTTGTTTCTCTTATCACTTCCTTACAGCTTTATTCTATAGTGCTGGTGGCCTAGGACCTGCTTGTGGATTTCTTGCCGGTGCTGGGTTTTTGAGTATTTACATAGACTCACCATTCATGCTTCCTCAAAGTGGTGTAGATCGTAATAGTCCTTTATGGCTTGGTGCTTGGTGGCTTGGCATGCTCGTTTGTGCTGCCCTTACCTTTATGGTGGCGTTACCTGTGATATGCTTTCCTAAGCGACTTACAGTTAAGAAAAATGTGTCTGTCACACAACTGGGTGGATATGGAGATGTTGACGAGGTTTGTGTCACTATATTTGTCAGTTCAGTTTCTTTTGTATGCTACTGGTACCTTTTATAAAAATGTTAAGTGATGATCTGCATCTTACTTCCACATCACACACAATGGCAATTATTTTTATTCTGTGGTCATTGACAGCGCGAATACCTTGATACTACGTGTAATCATGTGTTTGTTATGCGTTTGGTGATAGTTTAGGAGGAAATCCAGGATGTGTATGTTGTTTCATTTAGGACTTGATACATGGATGCGCCTACAGCCTGTTGTTGGTGTTTTGGTTGAAATTCGTATCCAGAAATATGTGAGGCGAAAGGACAACGATCAAATTCAATTGATGTACAAATGATCTTGAACAATCAATCCGAACATCTGGTCATGAAAAAAAATATTAAAGGGCATACAAATTGTATAATAAGTGTAAAAATTACCTATACAGGATGCTTTTTTGGCGACATGTTAAATAAGTGTTCCATTAATACGTAGGTATGTCTTGGACAAGTTAAACCAGTTTCGATACATGAATTCATCCAGATGACTAGATCATTTGATTTTAAGATCGGCGAACTGCTCTTTTGATTCTTGACCGAAACGCTTCTATGAAATTTGTATGTGTCCCTGTTACAAGGTCTACGAAGTTAGAGATGTGGTTGATCGTGTAATGCACACAACCGAGGGTGATTAATCATTGTGTGATTTGTTATTCCTGGAAAAAATAGAAGTGGTAACACTAATGCCTCTGTTTCTGATTCTTTACGTAAACCCTATACTCAAGCCTGTATCGTGCAATCCTATAACCCAAAGATGATTTGCTGTCGATTGCCCTCTGTTATACTTTCTCTTGACTAGCACTGTTCGGTCAACATGAACTATCACTCCTACACCACCAAGCAGATCAGTATCTATGTTTATCTTCCAAGTTGCAACGTCTCTGTTACACCTTATATACCAGAATGTTTTGTGTGTCTTTTCAGCAGTTGCTCGAATAGATCTTTTCAAAACCAAGTTGTAGCGTATAAGTAGAATGTTTGTCAAGCACGATTTGAACTTAGAGAAGAAGGTGATTAGTGAGAGACTAAAGAAGCACTGACAATATACCGTTACAAACAGATTTTATTTCGTGACAATGGAACGCCTGAATCCGTAGTCATCAACAGCTTCTGTGTGCCGATGAATAGTCATATTTCCACTGTATTAGCGGACTTTCTGTCTTTCAGTTAGTTCGTTATCAAAATAATACTGGGAAACAGTATCAGGATTAAAATGTGAACACAGTAGATTCAAGTCGTTCATTGCTAATAGCAAATGGTATAGCCCAGTTGCAAAGTGGTTGGTAATGCTAGGTCACTGGCGTGTTCGTTAAATTTAGTTATTATTCTCTAATTTCACCCGGCATTTTCACTTGAAACGTCAAAGTGTAATCACTTTCATGAATCGGCTGTCTAGTTCGTAGTGTTTAGCGCTGATCCAAATCTATCAATCACATTAGGCAGTGTAACCACTACCCGAAGTGATGCGATGCTGTTAGCTCATTGTATTCTGATGTTAGATGGTGGGAATCATTCGACAGGAAGCCCCAGATCTAAGTTTAGACTTTGTTGACACTCATTAAAAAGGCTTATCTGGAACATTGAGGAACTTATGTTTCCATCGGCGGTTCGAATATGAATCACTCAGTGCTTAAATCAAAGACTCAACCATGAAGCTATTCAAGCCGCGACTGACCGATCCCCTGTACAACTGGGTCACATACACGAACTGATCTTCAGTGGGTAACTGACTTATCTGCCTAATCCTTAGTACTTAGCACTGATAGAGGTCTGTCGATGAAGTAATCACTTACGCCACTGACTTTCAATGGCCACACTGGAACAAAGAAGTCCAACTATAAACGACATCCATTGAACAAGATGGAACTATGATAACTCAGCAACCTGTAGCATGATTTCCTGAAGTTGAAAGCTTACGGGTTTTGTTTTCGAGTCACTGTAGGAACACTAGAGGTCACCGCTGTTTACTGCCAAGTATATATGCCTTATCATTTTAGTTTCCTGTTTTTATTTCCTTAAAATTCTCTTGGCTTCTATGACATTTCACGAAATAGAACAGTAAAAGCATGTCGTTTATTAAAAGAGTCAAAGTTAGAAACCTTGCCTTGTTATTGCTTCATAGAAGTAACTTTAATTCCTTGTTTGCTTTTTTAAATTTTAGACCTCTCCTTCTACAGCTCAATGTGCTAATCATAATATTTACAATGACAACAATACTACTGAGCCTAGTAATAACAGTAATATAAATTTATCATACATAAAGTCACCGAATGGTTTACCTGATACTAGTGAACAAATACAAAAGACAACAAAAATGACAGCAACAACAACTTGTGTCACTACACCATCAACCTGTCAGGGTCAGCCAGCTTGTCGTACTACTGTTAAATATCCAAGTTTAGATGAATTTAAACAACAACAGCAGCGGCAACCACCGCCGCTTCAGCAACCATCAACAGTGGTGCAAGATAGCATCGGTTTTCATAATACTATTACTACTAGTACTGTCAATACAACTACACCATTTCCAACCGATACATTGATTAATGTTGGGACAAATGTTGCCATCCCTTCTAACCATTATTATTTGCATTCAAAAGATTATTATAATGATGTCGCTAAAGGTGATGGTTGTGTTGCTGCTACTATGGAACAGCTGAATGATATAAACAACGATAACGGTGATTTGCGAATGTCCGCGAAAAAGTCTCTGCGTAATTCCTTTCATAAAAGCCGTACTAAATTAAGAAAAAAGATTAAAGGTATGCCATAAATTGTCTTGTAATCACTTAGGTATTTTTGCGTCCGCACCCCTACTTACTCTAAAACTTATTTTTATTATCGAATGCACTGCTGCAACTAACCAAGCCTGTTAACTAGAATTAGACTGTCTGTAAACAGTATTCAAGGTAAATTAGCGTTAGCATGCCGCTGGTAAACTGCCAGCAGCGAGTGTAGACTTATATCTAGTGTTCACTTTTTGGTTGCATTGTGTGTTCTCTGAGCTGGATTGTTTAATGGTGAAGCTTTCATAGTCTTTCTAGACGACATCAGCAGCACTAACTTCAGTACGAAGTGAGCTGTCAATATCTCTCCGTGAGTGATTTAGTAGCTTGCTCTGACGATGTGGTCAGTGATTGGTTGTTTCCTTCGATTGTTGTGTCAATAATTGACTGTATAGAGTTTCCTGTTGGCTGCTTCTCTAATTCACCTCTCACCTTTCTGTCCCTTATCATTTTCTTCATTGGTTGATAGATTGGGTTCATGTCTATATATCTGTTGATTGCTGACTGATGTGAATTCCAAGCTTCTAAGAATTCTCTGATATTCTTTGTGTTTCCTCTCTCCATCCAAAATTTATACATTGTCAAAATTGAATTCATATCCAATATTATCCACATGCGAGATATATCCACGGAAAGATATACAAACAGATGAAAGTAACTCCAATGGGATCACCGATATCCGGATTTATTGCAGAAACAGTGATGCAGAGACTGGAAGCCATTATTCTACCTGTGATCAAACTATGGAAGGAATATTCAATGAGACAAGTGAAGTATTTCTTTATCTTGATGACTTTGAGTGTTGATTAGTTCTTCTGACAATTGTTGTAAGAGATCATTTATTTTCACACTTTTCAAATTGATATTCACCGCTGACTTACATCAATTGGAGAAACATTGAAAACCTTAGAGGGCCGAATAGTTGTTTCATCCCGGTAGTGAACTCCCCACAGACACGATAGATCCTATTAAACAGACATTTTGCCAGACGTCGATTGTATTGGATCAGACAAAAACTAAGAAAATGCAGGCTTTCTGTAAACTGACCGTCTTAAATGAACCATCTTCTCGTCGACTCAGGAGTATGTTTAAGAATGGCAGATGATTATTATTCTCTTTCTCACAAATCAGGCTGATGTGAGTTTGTACGATTTAAAGTCTTTTTAGTGGACAAACTATATCCGTATACCTCTCACAAATCACTATGATGTCATCAACATATCTCTTGTTAAGAGCAATTTTAGCGATGAGATCACCAGTCAGATTTTCGATATATGACATATAAACATCAGCTACTAATGGTCCTAAGGGACTACCCATAGCTACACTGACTACCTGTCCAAAGTGTTAACCTTCAAATTTGAAATGAACTTTGTCAGTACACAACAATAATAACTTCCTCATAAAAGTTGGAGTAATAGGAAATGAGAGGCTTCTAGAAGATATATAGTCACAGAGAATTCTAATAGTCTTAAACAACAACACGTTAGTGAATCAAGAATTTACTTCGAAAGAGTACATAGTCTTATTTTTGATATTCATGTTATTAAGACAGTCAACAAGTTGAAAAGTATCTTTGAATGAAACTTACAGAATTCATTTCAAACTGGATTTAACATTTTCGCCAACCAGTTCACCAATTCATGCATGGAGGAATGACATATATAGACAATATAGGACGGAAATCTTGGGTAATCTATATAAATTTGGAAATTCAGATAGCATCGGTTTCAATGAATTAAATTACTCTTTGCTAATAGCACTTGTATTCAAGCGTTTTACTAAATTAGCAGTTACTTTTGCCTTCAATTTTCTAATATCTTCTGATGGGACATCGGCTATAAATTTGCTTTCATCACTGAGGATGGATAGCATTTTGCTTTTATGGTCAGATTGATTCATCACAACAATACCTAATTCCATATCGGGTTTAAGAATGATTATTTCGATCTGTTCCGTAATTCTTTTAAAGATTTGAAGTGCTGTGAATTCAAAATGCTTTTTTTGTCTTATGTTTCTGAACTATGAAGAATTGATTAGCAACACCAACTAATTTACCCTTTAATCAATTTTCATTATCTGAAAATGTAGGGAGAAAAGAATTCAATTAGTTATTAGAGACTTTCAAAATGAACATCAGTATTCAAGTGAGAGCTTTTCGTGTATGAAACTGAAAAACTAAATCTAAAGGAAAGCACTTCTTTCTCATGAATTGAAAGTGCAACGGACTACAAGTTATTCACATATTTACATGGATTTCATGGAAATGACTTTTTATGAATGTCATTAGGATGGGATCTAGACAATTTCTACCTTGTACAATCCTTCGTTTCATTGATAACAGGACTACAAAACTTTGATGAATTTACTGTGGCAATTATAAGAGATGTTCGACAACGTAAATGAAACATGAGTATCCATTTAAGTTAAACTGCGTAGTGTTTCATTGCAATTATCTATGTACGATTTCGTAAGTCGAAAAAGATTTGAAAGGTTGAGTCACAATTTAGAGGACCACAACATGTAAAATTGTGCGGCAAATATGTGATCAGAAATGCACGATTTGTAAAATTCCAATTTCACTTTCTTTCAGACGCGATTTTACACTTTAGGTTAAATAGTTCATTTGACTGTTTCACAATGCATGAAGGGAGTCTTCTCTTCAAAATGAATTTAGATATTGCTAAACACTTGCTTCAGCATAAAGCGAAACACTGTATCAGGAATTACGTCACATCCCACTATGTTTATTAATGTGCATTTGTGTGCGATCACACATCTATAGGGAGGAGTAATCGAGGCATGAAGTTGAGGGTGGTAGAATATGTATCTGAATGGCCTCAAAAATAAATGAAGTGTGAGACCTTGATAAACGTAGATGGGAGACGACCTTCTTCCTCTATAACTAAATATATTATAGATAGAGATCACAAAATTAATGTTCAAGCAGCTTTCAAAGTTTTTTCATGGAAAGTGTACGGCACACGTATTGAATTTGGTTAGGTGATGGCCATACACCTATTGTATACGAATGAGACTCATTGGAAATGGTAAAATCGTCTCTACGATGAATGGAATGATGTCAGGGAATGCGATATTTAATGATGCAACTTATAATAACCTTATTTGCGCTGGAAGAGACTGTCGTATGGATTATAGTTTCTGTCGAAGACTGACATTCCTTGTTCTAGGACATTAAATGTACCTGTAGAGAGGTATGGAGAGTAGGGAACGCATTTTGAAGATAGACCGAGAACACTTAATAACTACTGAATGTTGACCAAAGTCCTACTGCAAAGTTCGTATAATTCATCCACTCACTAGACATTACTCACATTTTCATATATCACTTTGCACTAGACTAACTAAGGATACCATCGTCATCTTATAGGAATGTTCAACTGTTGGGTCACGGGTTCAAACCGTGCTCCACCTACTGAGTTTTAACTTATGAGGTAGTATCACTAACTATCACACAGTAAGGTGTGTGTCATTGCCTACTGCCGAATGCGCAGAGCGTGACTGATTGCTTTTCACTTTTTCGTTTCAACTATTTGCTTTAATTAATTATATACAGTTATTTATCAATCAGTCAATCAATCATTATCAACACAGGACCAGGCATTACTGCGTAACGGTCCAGCTTGCCACACCTCACATCAGTTCATCAAGTAGAAAGGTAGTCAGGTGAAGGATGAAGATAAGTGAATGCAGTCAAAAGAAATATAAAGTACAAGAAGAAAGGAAAGAGGAGTGACAAAATAGTGAGATTCGGTATAGTGTAGTTAAGATGAGGATAATGTGTGCATACATCTGCTCCACTGACATCGGTTGTGAGCCATATCACCTAGAGTCTCCAACCACTGGTTCCTCTTGTCCCGTGGACCCCAACCACCTAGTATGCATCGTCCTACATGGCTTAAACCAACAGTCAGAGACTTCATACATTAGTGCCATGTTTTAGTCTGTCCACCTCGAGCCTTTTTCCAGCCTGGACCCACCTCAGCCAACATTGTGTGACGAGGCAGTTGGTGACTACGCATACGTAGTACGTGTCCCAACCATCTCAATCGATGAAGGTTCATAACCTCGTCAACTGACTTACCTCTTCTCCCTAAAACTCTACACTTGACTTATGCATTACTCACGTGGTGTGGTGACACCATGGAATACGGCAGCCTATACTACGAAGGCAGCGGTGATCAAACACCTGAAGCCTTTTTATATCTTCTACTTTCAATGGCCATGTTTCACAGCCATATAGTAGAACAGAGTGGACTGCTGTGGAGTACATGCGACCCTTAATAGACAAAAGAATATCACGGCGGCGCCATAGGTGGCGCAAATTAGCAAAAGCCAATCTAGCCTTTTGTATCTGTGCAGAGATCACATTAGCAACCAACCCACCGGGGTTGATCCTACTTTCCAGGTAAGTAAATTGGTCAACACATTCGACCACTTCACTCTCTATTGTTAGCCGCGGTGGAGCACCGCTGATGACCAGTCCTGGAGCAAAAATTTGCATTTGGGTGGTGAAAATCGCATCCCAAACATTCTCAAATTGCCACTCAAATTGTTCAGAAGACTCTGCATCTTGTCAGCGTCTTAACCTAACAGGACTATGTCATCTGGATATTCTAGATCTAAAGAAAATTCACCTGTGATTGGGTCAATGTCTGTGTAGTCAGGTGACGAGAGGGAGACCTCCATAAGAATATCTATGATAAAATTAAATAAGAATGGGGATAGTGGGCATCCTTGACGGACACCACTCGATGAGTATAGCTCCCTGGACAAGTTGCCGTAGGCTCTAACATGCCCACAAATGTTCGAGTAGAGAGCTTTCAATAAGGTGATGTACTTACTAGGCACGCCTTTCAGTGACAGACTTTGCCATAAGACTTCTCGGTCGGCCGAGTTGAATTCCGCCTTCAGGTCGAGAAATACAGCTATTGTTGGGCGTCTGTAAGCATGCC